AAGAGGCAGAAGAGAAAAGGCTTTTGTCAGAGAAGTGGTGTGAGAGAGAGAGAGAGAGAGAGAGAGAAAGAGAGAGAGAGAGAGAGAGGGAGGGAGGGAGGGAGGGAGGGAGAGAGAGACAGACAGACAGACAGACAGACAGACAAAGACAGACAGACAGAGAGGAAAGGATTTTGAAGGAATGTGTGCGTGAGAATGGGAAGGATTTGGAGGAACATGTGTATGAAAATGGGGAGGATTTGGAGGGACGTGTGTGTGTGTGTGTGTGTGTGTGTGTGTGTGTGAGAGAGAGAGAGAGAGAGAGAGAGAGAGAGAGAGAGAGAGAGAGAGAGAGAGAGAGAGAGAGAGAGAGAGAATGGGAAGGATTTGGAGGAATGTGTGTGTAAGAATGGGAAGGATTTTAGAGCAATGTGTGCATGAGTATGGGAAGGATTTGGAAGAATGTGTGCGTGAGAATGGGGAGAATTTTGGAGAGATGTGTGCATGAGAAAGAGAGAAAAGGTTTTTTGAGAGTGAAGCCATGTGGAGAAAGGGAGAAGAGAAGAGAAGGAAGGAGATGGGAATGAGAAAGAGGGAAGGAGGGAGGGAAGGAGCCTAACCCTAACCCCCTCCACCAGAGAGCATTGGATCCCCCCCACAGATGCCCCCTGACCTGAGCGATGTAGAGCTGGCCACATAGCTGCACACTCCTCCCCCCCCAACAGTACCCACAATGCTGATGCAGCCCTCAAGTTTGACACCTCTGATATAAAAGAACGAGGTGGGGAGAGGAGAAGGTATAAAAGGAGGAAGGAGGAGAGGAGAGGATATAAAAAAGAGGGGAGAGAGGAGAGGATATAAGAGGAGAAGGGGGAAAGAGGAGAGGATATAAAAGGAGAAGGGAGAGAAATTTATTAAATGAGTTTTGCCCCATTTTACGACTTTTCTTGCTACAGTTGTTAAGCGAATCACTGCAGTTATTAATAACATGGTTGTCAGAATCCAATTTTATTTAATCTCTAGTTATCAATTATAGAAAACCCCATTTCTGCCTTCTCTGGATTCTGCCCTACGAGGAAGGGAAGGGGGTGAACAAAGGGGCTTTATGGCCCTCACTTCCTTTGGTACACTTCAAAGGAACTAGATGTAGATATCACCAAAAGGACTAACCATAACAATGGGGCTATTACCTTCATGTAGTTCTCTCTGAAGTCTCCATCCAGCCGGCAGTAAGGAAAAGGGGGCGGGAGTGTAATGCCTGAGACTGTCGTTGGAAGAAAGGGGTGATTGGGTGGGGCTACTGGGGAACCCCTTAAAACCTTGAATGGGAGAGCTTGGACCCCAAGTCCTGTCTAGAACGCCTGCAACATTTTCTCTTAATAAAGGATGCCTGTTGGAAGAACTATTCCAAGAGTTCTGTCTTCTTAAGATGCAAAAGTGGGGTGGGTCCTTACAATAGTTGATAAGTGAATCTGGTTTCCCCATTGACTTTGCTTGTCAAAAGGTTGCAAAAGGGAATCACATAATCCTGGGATACTGTTAAGACCAGTTATAAAACCACAATAAGCAGAAGGACTTTAAAAGAAACAGAAGCTGCACAGATGCAATTTTTATGCTTAAACAACTAATAGAAAAGAATACTGACTACCAAAGAATCTCTTTAATAAATTTTTAGACCAAGAGAAAGCATTTAATAGCATTTAATAATTAATTTAAATCACGTGACCCTGGGCATGCTGCAAAGGTCATAAGTATGAAAAATGGTCATAAGTCACTTTTTCAGTGTTGTTGCAACAGTCACTAAGCAAACTGTTGTAAGTCAAGGACTACCTTAGTTTATCACTTTTTTCCTTTTTGGGGGGGTCATCAAGTTTTTGACATCTTGCAAGGTGACTGGTGATACTTGAATATTGCCACATCCTAAAAGTGGTACAATCTGTGAAAAAGTTGAAAAGCACTGACTTAGATAAGGGAATAAAAGGGGAGCTCATCAGATTTTGCAACTAAGCTGGCAGAATTAGCCAACACGGCAGAAGACAAGCTCAGAATCCAAAAACATGTTTAGAGACTTGAACAATGGCCCCTATCCAGCAAAATGAAAAAAACAAGATTTTACACTAGGGCAGGAAAAACCAAAGATACAAGTACAGATTAGGCAAAAAGGCCTAAAGACAAAAACATATGAAGAATAGTTGCGGGATTTGACTTTGCTTAGTCTAGAGCAGAATGAATATGCCCGCGACGTCACATGACGTCGCACGATGTATCGGGACATTTCCCCCATTGCCGGCAATGGGATGGGTGCGGTTTTGGCGTGACACATCTGGCCCGTGGGCTGGCAGTTTGACATGCCTTTTCTAGAGAAAAGAAGGTCAACTTATTTTTCAAAGCACCAGAGGGCAGGAAAAGAAACAATGGATAGAAACTAATTAAGGAAAGAAGCGACCTGGAATTAAGGAGAAACTTCCTAACAATGAGGACAATTAACCAGTGCAACAGATTGCCATCAGAAGTTGTGGGTGCTTCATCGCTGGAGGTTTTTAAGAAACGACTGGACAGTCACTTGTCTGAAATGGTATAAACTCTCCTGTTTGAGCAGGGGGTTGGATTAGAAGAGCTCCAAGGTCCTTTCCAGCTCTGTTCTAATTGAGGGTTGCATAAAAACATGTATCAGAGTTGAAATATTTAGAAACAACATTTACTGAAAAAAGAAAAATGGATGAAGAGATTAACATATGATGCAGTAAGGCAAATCAAGTATTGGGAGAGCTAGCTCCACTCCTATAAAACAAGGCAGTACCAATTAGTGCAAAGAAGCATCTCATACAAAGCATATTCATTCCCACATATCAGTGCCAAACATGGACGCTTGCAATAAAACATAAACAAAAGTTAATTACTACGAAAATGAGATGTTTGAGGAAAGCTTCAGGAGTGACTAGAAAGAATACAACCAGAAGTGAGATTATAAGACAAAGTACTGGAATAGAACCAATATTAAATTACTTATAAGATGGCAAATGAAGTAGTTTGCCCATCTGGAGAGAATGTCTGGGGATTCTATATCAGTGTTTCTCAACCTTGACAATTTTAAGGCATGTGGACTTCAACTCCCAGAATTCCACAGCCTGCATTGCAGGCTGTGGAATTCTGGGAGTTGAAGTCCACATGCCTTAAAATTGTCAAGGTTGAGAAACATTGTTCTATATCATACAAGGCAAACATAAAAAGAAAAAGAGGAGAAGGCAACCCAGAAAAAGATAGAGAGACAACATCAAAGACACACTACAGCAGCATCAAATAACAATGGTTGAGGCCGCAAGAAGTGCAAGAGTCAAATCTTTGTATGTATCTCCTTGACACCCAAAGTGGTAAATAAGGAAGTAAAGAAGAAGACCAAAAATACATAAAAGTGACCTCAGAACAATGGTATATATACTGTTACGTGGATTAAGAATGTTAATCCTGGCTTGATTTCTATTATGAGAACAATGGAGGGTTACGCAGCTACAAAGCAGAAACTTCAACTGATACAAAATGTTACAGTCGTTTGGTTTCACAGTATCACATGAAGTTTGTATTACAGAATTCAAATTGCTCTGCCATGCGTGTAGTCTTATTACTATTGCCAATTATTTAAATGTTTTACTGAAGATGAATTAATGACTGCCTAAGCATCGTTTTAAAAAATACCTCTATTATTGACATAATAGAGATTTCAACTGGCAGGAAACAAAAGGCTAAGAATCCTTATCCAGAATAGCCCAAGCTAATGTTATGTCATTATTATCCTTTACAGGTAGGATGGAGGCGAGACCAAAGATCTATTTTAAAAAATGCTTAATAAAAGATATGTAGAAAAATTAAATGGGTGCAGTGTTATAGTGCAGTAACATCACATTGTAAATTTATATTCCAAGCACACTTTTTAGTATTCCACAACTCACTTCATTAGCAGCAGAACTTCATTCAACTGGAAGGAGACTACATGATTGATTGACTTGTTCTTGATTACTACTTACCCACTTTTAGGACATAACATTCACTATCGAATATGATATCATTTTTAATACTTCCTTTTCCATACTATTACAGATCATTTATCATTGTATTCATTAAATTATGTTTTAATAAAAATATGGTATTTAATTTTCAACTAACATAGGTCTTATAACAGCTTCTATTCTAATTTTAGAAATATGATTAAAGTAATAAAAAAGAGTTAAGACCTTTCTAGAATCACATTAAGGTCTACAGAAAAACATATTTATATTAGTTCTAAAAGCAGGAAAATATTTTTTACTAGACATCAAGTATAATAAAAGTCATCAATAATTCCTTATCATTTGCTGTGCCTTAGCAGACCAGTTGCTAAAATCTGTAGCATACTTGATCAATTGTACATCAAAATAAGACAGCTATGTTACGCTGACCATTCTGAATGCAGTTACAAAAAAGGTCCTATTTCTGTTTCCTGTAGGCATTGCAGTTGCATAGGGAAAGATGATATCTACATTGTAAATATAATTTGTTCCAAAATGAATAATTCTAAATGCTAATTATAAGCCACATTCAAAAAACTAAAATACAGAGAAATTTATCTTGCCAACACAAGACATTTAAATATTCTTTCTACAGAAAAGTGGAATCCTAATATTGGAAAAAATGAAAGAAGTGATTCTTGACTAGAGTCCAGTAGCAGCTTTGAAGAAATGAAGAAGTCATTAAAAGTGAAAAATGTAATTTTTAGGTAATTATGATAAACAAGGTAGATTGACTCAATTATAATGGTGATAGATACACCATTGGAAGACCTGAAATATCAAATTAGGGACAGGTTGTTACAGAGAGAAATCTATATATTTGCTTGCTAAAAATTCATATTTATGGCACATAATCAATTTCTTAAATCAGCAACATATCTATGTTCAAGATCTGCAAGATCTTAGCTTATTCTAATAACTAAATTTTTACAACTAGATATTTAAAACATAAACAAGTTCTTAAAGCAGTTTACTTACAGTACTGATCACAATCTACTCTGGCAAATACAACTTGATTCTTATCTGGAAAATCCTCTTTAACTACATTAGAAGCTTCCTCAAATATAGGGTGTAGCATTTGACTAAATCGACACCTGAAAGATATTAAATAAGAGGCAATTTCTAAAAATAAGGTATTAGAGGATTTCACATTATAGTATCACACAGAATTACTGAAAGCAAATGTTCTACAGTACATTACATAAGAGATTTCTTTATACAGAAAAATCAATGAACCAAGGTAATCTGAATATCTTCCTAATCTTTGAAGAAGGGGTTTAAAGTAATAATAATAAAGTTGGAAGGGACTTTGGAAGTCATATAGTCCAACCCCCTGCTCAGGCAGGAAACCTTATACCATTTCAGACAAATGGCTGTTCAGTCTCTTCTTAAAAACTTCCAAGCAGGCTGTTCCACTGATTAATTTTTCTCACTGTCAGGAAGTTTCTCCTTAGTTCTAGGCTGCTTCTCTCCTTGATTAGTTTCCATCCGTTGCTTCTTGTCCTGCCTTCAGGCGCCTTGGAAAATAGCTTGACTTCCTCTTCTTTGTGGCAGCCCCTGAGATATTGGAACACTGCTATCATGTCCCCCCTCGTCCTTCTTTTCATTAAACTAGACATACCCAATTCCAGCCACTGTTCTTTATATTCTCTTATTTATTTCTCTTGACAATAAGAAGGAAAAAAATCCCTATGTATCATGAGAACATTCCTGAAGAATAAAGTATAATTAGAATTGCTCATAATTGAACCCCAATACAATATACTGTACCTTTGAAGAATACTGACAAGAAAAAGTGTGATCATATATTTAGTTTGAAAAGTACTAAATTTATATTTCAAAGTTTCTGTTTTTCTTACATTTATAAATGCTTTTAAAAGCAGAAAATAATCCCAATTTCTATATTACTAAAAATATATGATTGTATAGAAATACTTACCAATCAGCATAAAAATTCACTAATGCAACATCGGCATTGTCTGGGAAAAAGAAAAATTAATTAATGTTTGTGACATCACAAAGCCTACATGTAAAATATTAAATCAACAGCACAGAAAAAGAATAATGATATTATCATTTCCAGAAGGGCAGCAAGCAACATTTGGATAAATCAGAATTCGTAAAAAGTAATACTGTTTTTATTACAGAATTATTAGGTTAACTGAACTTAAACTAATTATTTAGTTGTTTTTGTTCTGTATCTGTTTTATGGAGGGTTGAGAGAGCAACGGATAAGTCAGAGCAAATTAGCTTTGCCTATCAAAATTAGGTTTTGCTGGGGCATGTATTTGATGCGGTAACTTGCCTTGTCTTCAATTTCTGGTGAACTTACTTGATTCTGAACTTTATTAATTTTGTCTTCTATGAAAGAGAAGAATCCACATTTTTTTCTGTTGTAACAAGTTGCTTTGTATTTTGGAACTTTAACTTTGAGCTTTGAGGAATTTAAGTTTCTTTGTTATAATGATTTGGTCCAGATTTCTTTATTTTACCCTGATTAATCTGGGAAACAAAATGTTTGTAACTGCACAATATCCAACATGGCAATCATTTTGTGAGAGCACCCACACCAATCTTCCAAAGTTTCAAACATAGACTTTCACACTCCAAAGTTAAGAGTTACACAGACTAGAAAGTAGAACAATAGCCCCAAATTCCCTATGAATGCTTTAGGATCTTTACTACATTTTCACTTGACCAGCAGTAGATAGCTATCATAGTATATGGGATTAAGGTTCATTAATCATGAACCAAGTCACAAGGGATAAAAATAAAACCAAATGTTTAATATGTATTTTAGATAATAGATTCCTATCCTCTATTTTAGCTCTTAAATGTAACCAAAGATTTTTGAGTCAGACAAAACAAGGGATTTGGGCTGTGAAAATACTTTAAAAAAAAATTCCAAGTTCATATAGCTGCTTTGAAAACTGCAGCTACTTTAGTGCCACACAAGTAACCTGGGAAAAAACACAGCAGCTTTAAAAGTTTGCAAAAAGCTGCTCCATATAGTCATCCTATAATACCTATTCTGAAGGTGCTACAAAGAATTATTTTTCAGAGCATGATTAGACACACCATAGCTGTACTAAAATCAGTAAGATTCATTAACCAATTTAGTGTGACTAAAGCATAACAACATAGATAAGGTTTTTGCTTTGGAATTTGTATTACCAATGGAAGCTTCCCTTCTCTTCCTAGCAATAATAAAGTTCCAAAAGAGTAATATTTTAAAACCTCTCATGCAATCTGATTTTAATTTAGCATTATAGCATTACCTACTTATAAATGTTATTAGCTTTTAAATATTTTCCTTCAATATTGTGCAAATATTCTCAAGATTTCACATGAATAATAATGTAGTCATTAAATACTAGAGTATTTTAAAATCTGGCTTGTTCAATCAAAGCCTATCTCAATGAATTCACAATCAACTTCAGGAATAGAACTTAACATAAATTTAGTTTTAGGGAGGTAGAAGGTTTAGTTGGGAGGCGGACATGGGGAAAAAAGGAACATGAAATTATGGGCAGATAGAGACATGGTAGGATATGAGGGTGGTCACACATGGAGGATAGGCAGTTTCTTATACTGGTTTATTTATTTTAAATATATATATGGCTGTCCATCTTTCATTAACTCTTGGCAGCTCCTACGTCTTGCTTTCTACCTCCCTAATCTCTCCCCCAATATCTTGTCAATGGACAGTTGGAGTTTTGGGCTTTTAATTACTGTTACTGAATTATAGTTCAGCTGGTAATAAAACTCTTCTCATCTGTGACTTGCAAATGAGAGAGCTGTTTATTACCAAGACCTAGACTGGGGTTGGGAGCTTTCCTCTCTGAGAAATTTGGCCATATTGATTTCAGATGTGGCATTAGATTAGCCAAGTGTACAGAGTAGGAGTAGTGGAGTAACTATTATCATTCCAGCTACTGTTGAGGGTTTCATAGGTGCTGTCTTGCAGATTGGTTGCAAAACGCTATATATAAAGCTGGGCTTTAGGAATCAATTGTTGTTACTGTATCAGCCTCGCTGTGAGATAGCAACTTCCAAATCTAAATTTTTGACTTTAGTGTCCAAGTTGTCAATGAAATTTCATAGGCTTCAACCTTGGATGCAAATTCCATATGACTCAAGAGTCTATGGACATCATACAGTAGCAAATATAGATCTAATCCAGATCACCTAAGATCTAACACATGATGGTCATGTGTTGGATCTAGGTTTTGTCTTAGGAAAGTGGCAGTGATTATCACTTTCTGATTGCTTTAAGTCAGCGGTTCTCAACCTGTGGGTCGCGACCCAATTTGGGGTCGAACAACCATTTCATGGGGGTCACCAAACAATGCAGTCCGCCATTTTTTCCCCTTTTCCTTAGCTATGCTACTCCTTTTTATTCTATTGGTTTTTGAAAGCCAATAGAATAGACTCTCTTGAATAGAGTCTAATTCTATTGGCTTTCAAAAGCCAATAGGAATTGGCCAGGCTGTCTCTGCCCTGCTGAGCCCACCCAAAGTCTCATTCTGCAAACAGTGCTGCAAGTTGTCTGCAGCGAAGGCAAGCTGTCTGAAAGTTTCCACCCCTCCCTGCTGAGCAACTACTAAAAATGTAAGTAAAAGAGGGCCAGGGGTGGGAGGTGGGAGGCCAGCGGGCACAGGGAGGGTTGCTGGTGCGCGTGGGGCCTGGCAGGCGCCTTACCTCCCTTGGGCTGGGCCAGCTGGTGGCCCAGCCAGTGGTCGGCCTGCTCCATCTCTGCCGCTTGCCAGCTACGCCTCGGCCACCGCAGGGGGCGGCACCACGCATGTGCGGCGCTCCCGGGAAAAGTCCTCGACTTACGACCGGTTGGGTAGTCCTTGACTTACGACATGTTGGGTAATCCTTGACTTACAACCAGTTGGGGGTCGCGGCATTAAAAAGGTTGAGAACCACTGCTTTAAGCGCTCTAGGGCTGCTCAACACAGTGAAAAGGATTTATTATGCCAATCTGCTGAAGGCATCTGATTGGGGCTTCTTAAAGGCTGGGTGCCCATTTGATTAAGATTTTGGTTACTGCTAGAATGAAGGTATGGTTGTGCCTCTGAATCAGTTACACTTATACTACCTCTTGTTATCCATGGAACCTAATGCTGCCTTCTTTTCAGAGAAGCTCCAACTAATAAAATAGCCAAAGAGATGCCTAAACATTGCTGGATGATAACAAAGAGTAAATCTGACAGGATATAAGAAAGAGTAATTGCTCAGGACTTCCTCCCTCCTGGATAAGATGGACATACATTTAAGGCCATTGGTGAGGAATAACATAGTCATCTATTGGATAAAATTGTCCAGTTTTGCTGAGCTGGCTGGACATTGCTGGCCGGGAGGTCCTATGGAGTTGACAAAGATACAAGAGTGGAGTTTGCTTTGTTATCTGGGATGAGTTTAATTCTATTAGTCATGTGGAAGTGGACGGATCCTTAGGACTATGAGTTCAGTTACCTGAAACTTAGATTCATGTCCTCCTGCCTGGCCAAGGCCTGTGATTAGGTCGAGATGTAGGGAATTAATTCTTCAGAGAGAGGTTGCTCCACTGATGCTTAAGGAGGGGATTCCCCACCAAAAAATCATCACTGGCCCCAACTGAAATGGACAGGTTTAGTCCATTTAGAAAGGCTGTTGCACTGCAACTTCAGAAAGATCTGGAGGAAGATCTTAGCTGGGTCCTTTTCAGTCATTATTCAATTTGCATACGGAAACTGAAACAGCATTGACTTGTGGATGATTTCTGATAGGGGTGGTAGACCCATCCTCACTCTCTTTAATCTCTAAGTAACTTTCAATTATCAATCATGTTATTCTTCTGGACTGACTCAGGTTGTTGAGAACGAGAGATACAATATGATGGTAGTTCTTCTCCTTTCTCCAGGACCAGGTCCAGTTAATTTTAATAGAAGAGATAAAAGTCTCTTTCTCTATAGGGGTTCCCAAGTCCCATGCTCTTCCCATTCCTGTTTCTATATGAAGTTGCTGGGTGAGATCATCCATCAGCATGGGGTTAGTTATCAACTGCACATCTCTATCCAAGCTGACGATGCTGTTAATGTTCTTTCTCAGTGCCTGGTGGGAGAGATTGTGTCCACAGATGGCTGGCAGAAGTTAGTTTTGGGTGACTAAAGTGATGGTGGGGGAGAGACAGTTAAGCCCCCGCATGGTGACTGTAAAGATTATCCTACATATCTGTCAGATAAAGCCATTCAACTTCAGTGCGTGTAACTCAGTCTGGGTAGATCCAATGGAAATGACTGAGACATGGCCTCACTTGGTTATCTGGAAGAGCTTAAGATAGCCAATACTGTTATGAGCTGTGTCACGTGTAGTCTGGATCAATTGCCCTCCTACTTGGTTACAACGTCCTGGGAGGTGGCAGGTTCAAGCCATGGTAAATGCTTCCATATGTGAGAAGAAATAGGTAATGGTTTCCCCCTTCCTCAAGAAACCATTTTTGGACCCTATGGCTTTGAATAACTTCCATTCCAATCTTCCCTTTTCAAAGGATGGCAAGAGGATGGTAAGCTCTTTGCTACAGAGGGCCTTTGATGAAGCAGATTATTTTCAGTCAAGTTTCAGACTGAGCTATAGTATCAAGATAGCATTGGCCATACTTGTAGATGTGTAGAGGACTTGGGATTTTGGAAGTGTGCTCATTCATTCTATTCCTTCTGGATCCCTCACCAAGTTTTGATACTATCAACCATAGTATTTTCTTGACCAGCCCCGAGGATTGGGAGTGGAGTATTGTTCTGCGCTGGTTTTTTGTGATTGCTATCAGTCAATGCTAGTGAGGGGGGAGAAGTTCAGCCAGAGCTCCTATTATATGGGTTTATCATATTATGTCTCTCCCCTCCTAATTAAGATCTATAGTCATCCACCAGCACGGGATTCAGTATCACCAGTAGGCTGATGATGCCCACCTCTATCCTATATTAGGCAAATTATATGCAGGTACTAGCTCAGTGCCTTGAGGCTGTAAGGCTCTGGGATAAGAGAAATCAGCTGTGAGTCAACCCTAAAAGACAAAATAGTTGTGGGTACCCCCTCCCCAACCTCATTGTCAGAAAAGTTGACATGTCTGATTCAGAGATGATACAGAGTAACATTTCCCCTGGCAGATCTGGGGCACAACTTGGGAGTCCTCTTGGGACTCAAGGTTTCTGCTGGAAGAGCAGGTAGCAGTGTGCAAGGGAATCCTTTGCATAAATTCAACTTGTACACCAGTTGTACCCATTCCTAGAACAGTAAATCTTTCTAAACCACCTCTGTTTTAGTCATCTCCCATTTAGATTACTGCAATGTGCTCTAATGGGGCTGCCATTGCAAACTATCAAGAAGCTGTAACTGATCCAGACTGGAGAGGCACGTGCAGTTTTGCCCTATATCTTGTGTCTCATCTGAATAACACTACTGCAAGAGCTATGCTAGATTCCAGGTGCAATTCAAGGTACTGGTTAACACCTTTAAAGTTCTACGTGGCATAGGGTATAGGGCATAGGTTATTTGCAGAATCATCTCTATCTGAGGGTACCTGGCTATTCTGCTAGGTTAAATAGGGTGAGTATACTCTAAATCCCCTCCTTAAAAATTGCCACCTAATGGAACTTCAGAGGTGCATCTTTTTGGTTACCACCCCAGCGCTTTGGAATAGCCTCCCATCTGAGATCCAAGGGATCCCTTTTAGTCTTCTGGAGGGCTATGGAGACTTGGATCTTTCCCTCAAGCTTTGTCTATGTAGGGGTTGAGCTGCAAGGATGTTTGCTATGGGGCCTGGAGGGTATTTTGTTTTCAACCATGTTTTAATGCATTGTTGTGAACCACCTAGAATCATTATGAGATAGATGGCCATATAAGTTTAGTAAATAAATAAAATAAAAACCAAGTGACTTTGGGTTTCAAAGCCTCCCAAATCCAAAGGTTTTCCAAATATTGCATTGCTATATACGAATCTCATATGAAATTTGGTGGTCCTCCTATACTCATGGTTCCTGTTCAGGGAATATAAAGAAGACACAGCGAGCAGAGCTTTTGCATAGATTCATCTTGACACTTTTCTTGGACCATGACACATTACTCAAGGTCATTCATGCTTTGATCATCACCTGAATTACAGCAATGTACTTAAGGCTGCCCATGAAATGCACTCAGAAGATAGAGCTGGTCCAGACTGTGGCTGTGTAAGCAGTTATGGGAACACTTCAGTTTATTCATGTTACACCACTGCTCCAAGAACTGCCTTGGTTCCCAGTAGGCTTTTGGCTGCAATTCAAACTCCTGATTAAAGCCTTTAATTGCATGGAGCCACTTTTCTCCATTTTCTTTTCTGTCTAACTCACTAGATCTGGCAGGCTGACCATGTTCTGGTTCCCATCTATTATGTATTAAGGAAGTGGGCCTTATTTATCTGGCCCAATCTTACTAATTTCCTGTTAACCTTGAAGATCTAACTCTTTCCTAGGCATGGGTCCTATAGATGACTGACTCCATCACTGTGGTTTCTTTCACATGACTAAAATTATGTGATCTCAGTCTCATTGTCCTTGACTGTGCTATTGGAGTATTGTTTTTTATTCTTATTGTTCTCTTTGGTTGTTGAGTGTCATCCTGTCTATGTCATCAAGAGTCAAAAGTGTGAGATAGGAAACTATATGAATCAAGGCAATAAATAAATAAATAACCATTAAACAATACTTACTTAAAATATCATCTATATTTCCACTGTCAAGGCTTGTTATTTCACTTTGTGTTGGATGAAAAAAAGAGGATATCTGCAAGAATATAGACACTTTAAAATGAATCCATTAACCTTCCATACATACATAGTTTAGAACATTTTAGCATGGCCAAAATTGTTTCAGATATCACATGCATTAAGAGAGTTTAGCTTTGTCCTTGTCCTCCTTCCCAGTACCCAATGGATTTCTCCAGGAAAGACTCCTCCCCCAGGATGAAACACAAATTGTCGAAGATTCTAGTTCACTAAACAAATTACTGATATAATCTGTCACAATACAATTATTATTCCTGCTCATACAATACATAAAGTGAGAGGAAACCAAGACAAGTTTATTTAATCAGTGCTCTTAAGAGTACTTTCTACTTACTAGTAATTTCTTTCACTGAAGGGACTCAGAACATGCCCACTCTGCTAGAATTAATAAAGATGGGCAGAATCAGAGATAGGCAACCTTATAAATAATCTGGCTCCATGCAATATAGGAATTTAAAGGTTACAAACAGTACCTGAATTGCATCTGGAAGCATACTGGGAGTCAGTGCAGCTCATGCAACTCTAATATTACGCATTCTAGACCAGCTAAAGCTTCCAAATGCTTTTCAAGGGCTGTCCCAAGTGCACAGAATTCCAATAGGCCATGTTTCTAAGTATTTGATAAGCTAGTGGTAAATAAGCACTCTTTTTGACTGACAAGGAGTCCATTTCCCAGGCTTCAATCATTTCCCTAGCTATTTTTCTCCCTGCTTGGCCAACAACCTTAGTAGCTGCAAAATCTTGTTCATTGCAATGTGAGGCCACTAATGAGTTTGGATTTCCTCCTCTGACTGCTTGTGTTCTTGTAAGATTCCTCCCCATCTATCCTACATAGTCACATAGGCAATCCCTGCAGAATTACATTAGAAGTATCTTCTACCTCCAAGTGATCGTTGCAATGCATGATTTATCCTTGTAGGGTAGCCTCTGGGCAGTGTGAGATGCCCACTTGCAGATATTGGAAGTTGCATTCTACTGCTTCCTAATTGTTTTTGATATATATGCCATATAGTTGATCTGTCTCAATTCCTCAAAAGTTGGAGATTAAACAATAATTGTCAATCTCCACTGGATTCAGAGCTGGCTTCTTAAATGGTAGGCAGATCATTACCCTTCTCAAAACTGCCAAAACTTCATTTTCCTCCAAAGAAAGGCTTAGTGCTATCTGGATATAATTTCCTATTACCCCTTCCTGGCTATTTTAACTATTTAAGTTTTCAAGATTTTGGCTGCTGAGAAAGCAAGATTTTTCCTGAAATTCTATATTGAGATATCATAGAATTATAGGTTAAAAGGACTAGATAATTCATTCCCATGATTCTGGATAATTCCTGGTGGAGTGTGGCTATGGGTTTGTGGGCTATCATTATTCCTAGGGGTTAGAAAGTTCTGGCTGTCATTTCTGACACCACTTTTGTGTATGGTAGGATTCATTTTTGGGTGGTGGTTAGTTGTGTGATGTGTGGTGGTTTGGATGCTGTGTGTCAAAATACAAAGTTTTTGGGATAGTCATTACAGAGAAAGATTTCAAACTATCACACAACACACAGCTGACCACCATGCAAGAACGAAGCCTACCATACACAAAAGAGGTGTCAGAAATGACAGCCAGAAGGGGCGTTGTCTTACCTGAATGCCTTTTCTCAGCACGGAGATGGATAATCCACCAATGAGTTTAGACCAGTGGTTCTCAACCTTTGGGTCGCGACCCCATTTGGGGTCGAATGACCATTTTACGGGGGTCGCCAAACAATGCAATCTGCCATTTTTTCCCTCAGGGGCGGCGCCGCGCATGCGTGCTGCGCATGGGGCGCCGCCGTGCATCACGTATGGGGATGGCGCTGCACATGTGCATTGTGCATGGGGTGGCGCCGCGCATGCACGGCGCATCCTTATGACCAGGGTCGCCGTATAAAAAGGTTGAGAACCACTGGTTTAGACTGTGTTCCTGCCCAATCAGATCAAGTCAGCCAAAGTTGCAATGCCTGTCCTGGGCTAGAGTGTCCCAGTCTCGACGCAGGCAAAGCCATGACTGACAGCAAGACGTGTTGGCTCATAAATCTAGCCCTAGGCCTAAGTAACCTGCAATGGCAGGAGTGGATTATCCATCTCCGTGCTGAGAAAAGGCGTTCAGATAAGACAACGCCCCTTCTCCAGCACTGGAGATGGATAATCCACCAATGGGACATAGCAAAGCCTATTGTCCCTGAGGGAGGGGAGCAGGCCGGTCCGGCATGGCACTTTGAGGTACGACCTGTTGGAGAACCCTCCTACCAAAGGAGGCCTCTGCCGAGGCAAACCTGTCAATCTTGTAAAGCCTTATAAAAGAAGATGGTGAAGACCATGTGGCTGCTCTGCAAACGTCCTCAATTGACACCTGAGTGGCCCAGACCGTGGAAGTAGCCGCGCTACGGGTTGAGTGAGCCATTACCCATCGTGGAACCAGCAATGATTCAGCCTGGTATGCCCCCACAATACACGCCCTAATCCACCTGCCAATCGTGGAGGAGGACACTTTCTGACCCTTGAAAGAAAGATGGAAGGAGACAAAGAGGGCCTCAGAGTTGCAGAAGGCAGCTGTCCGTGAGATATAGTAATGGAGCGCAATGCGGACGTCCAGAAGGTGCCATTGCCATTCCAGGGCATGAGATGGGTGAGGACAGAAATCTGGGAGTACGATTTCTTGAGTCCTGTGGAAAAGAGAATTGACCTTAGAAAGAAAGGCAAAGGACCACTTGGTCCTGGTGAAAAAAGCACAAGTCATCTCTGACTGAAAGTGCCGCTAATTCTGATATTCGTTTCGCAGACGTGATTGCCACCAGGAATGCAACCTTGTGCTATACGTAGCGTATAACACATGTCTTGAGGGGCTCAAAGGGCAGTCTGATTAGAGCCCGAAGAACTCGCAGCAAGTCCCAAGAGGGATACCTGTGCACTACAGGGGGCGTGGTGTTAGTAGCCTCCTTGATGAACGAGAGGATCAAGGGATGATGCCCTAGGGAAACCACTGAGTCACAGGTAAGTACAGTGAAAGAGCAGCGACTTGTCTGCGCAATGTGTTTGGAGCCAAGCCCCTCTCCAGACCCTGTAGAAGGTAATCCAATATATGTGGAATTGTCAAGTCTGGAATGGTCAAGTGGTTGGAGAACCCTCCTACGTGGCCTCATAAATACGGTTAGTAGGAGGCCTGGATTACGGTAATGACCCCCAGCGAGCAGGACTCCTGGGACAGGATCGAGCGCTCAAGTGCCATACGGCTAACTGGAGCCATTGGGGATCTGGATGAAGAAGGGTCCCTTGGCTGAGTGAGACCCGATCTGGGGGAATCCTCCATGGGGCCGCTAGAGAGAGGTTCACTAGGTCGGCAAGCCATGGTCTCCGTGGCCAATACGGGGCCACTAGAACAGTATTTCTCAACCTTGACAATTTTAAGGCATGTGCTGGCTGTGGAATTCTGGGAGTTGATGTCCACATGCCTTAAAATTGTCAAGGCTGAGAAACACTGCACTAGAAGAACCTCCGTCTGCTCCCGAAGAAGCTTGTGGACAACCGCCGGAAGAAGAGGAAGAGGACGGAAGGCGTAAAGCAGTCCCTCCAGCCACAGTCTCCGAAGAGCATCCACTCGTTCCGCCCCCGGAGACGGAAAGCGGGAAAAGAATCACTGGAGATGGGTGTTTGTCGGAGAGGCAAAAAGGTCTAGAACTGGCAATCCAAAGTGATGGCAGATCACCCTGAAGATCCTCGGGTGCAGGCGCCATTCCGAATGGTCCACCACCGCCCGGCTCAGGAAGTCGGCCTGAGTGTTTGCCTCTCCTGAAATATGGTTGGCCTTGATGGAGGCCAGGATGGCTTCTGCCCAGGAACCCAGCAGGAGTGCCTCAGTCAAGAGTGCATGAAATCGGGTGCCCACTTGCCGGTTCACATGTACCTTAGCAGCCACATTGTCCATGAGGACCAACAGGTGACGCTTTGCTACTGCGCTGTGAAAATGGCGCAGGGCCAGGTGTACGGCCCTGAGCTCTAGCCAGTTGATATTGTGCCAAAGGTCGGAGCAGGACCAACGGCCCTGGGCCCACTGTGAGTGAAGTTGTGCTCCCCAGCCGAATAGGCTGGCGTCAGTTATAAGGGTGAAGTAAGACCTCTTGAGCATGGCCGACGAGAGCCACCATGTGAGGGATCACGAAACGTGAAGCGGAAATCTCACTCTTCGATTGGAGGAACTGATATTCAGTCTCTGGAAGGGGAGCAGGAACCACTGAAGGTTCCTGGAGTGAAGCCTGGCCCAAGGTACAATCGCAATGGCCGAGATCATCTTCCCCTGTAATTGGGAGAGGCTTCCCCTGTAATTGGGAGAGGCTGGTTTGACCCCTGTGCAATTGGAAAATCGACTCCCTGATGCTGTCTTGGCGTTCTTGGGATAAATAGACCCAGCATTCCACTGTGTCTATGATGGCCCCTAGGTGTAATAACCTTGTTGTGGGGACCAAATGGCTCTTGGAGAAGTTCACTGAGAACCCGTGATTCTGGAGCAGCATTATTATCAGTTCGAGATCCGCCTGAGCGGCCTGGATCGATAATGACTGGATTAGAATGTCGTCCAGGTAGCACTGGACTCTGACTGGCACCATTCTCAGGTGAGCTGCTAGAACCACCAGGATCTTGGTAAAGACTCTCGGAGCCGAGGATATGCCGAACAGGAGTGCCCTGTACTAATAATGATGTCCCCCGTGGGCGAATCTTAGAAACCGGCAGTGGGTGAGAGAGATGGGGAGGTGGAGGTAAGCTTCCGTGAGGTCAATAGACCTCAGGAAGTCCCCCCTTCTTATGCTTCCCAAGATGGACTGGAGCGTTTGCATCTTGAATTTGCAGTATGCAAGATGATAGTTTAATCCTTTTAGATCCAGGATGGCTCTCCATCCCCCTTACACCTTGGGGACAACAAAGAGGATGGAGTAAAATCCCCGAGCTCTCTGATCCAATGGCACCGGTTCTATGACCTGTATGTTTAAGAGGTGACCAATGGCCCCTCTTTGTTGGATTTCTTAGTTGGGGACAAGAAATGAAATGATTTGGGAGGCTGGAGATAAACTCCAGGGACAGTCCGTGACGCACGGTGTTTAGGACCCATGCATCCGTGGTGGTGGCTTCCCACTGGCAGGCAAAGAAAGAGAGTCTGCCCCCGATGGGAGGATCCGCCTGAGAGTCACCAGGATCGGCGGAATAGGTGGCTGCTCCCGCGAAAGGGCCATTTGCCCTGAAATTGTTGTCTGGGTCTGGAAACCTGTCTTCAGACTGTCTGTCCTGTCTGTCTTGTCTGATAGGGAAAGAACGGTTGGGCTGGGAGTAGTTGGACCTGGCTCCAGCGCGAAAGGGCTGCCTCCGTGAGTAGGTGTTGGGACGTTTGTCCGACTATTTAAGGAGGTGATTGAGGACCTTACTTTTATCCTTATTCTCAGTGAGATAAGGATTCAGAGCTTCACCAAACAATTTCCCTCCCTGATAAGGGGCTGCTGACAAGCGCCATTTGGACTTGGCATCAGCGTGCCAATGTTTCAACCACAGCATATGGCAGCCAGTGACATTGGATGCCATGGCTCTAGAGGAAAATCTGGTGGCCTGGAGGGTGGCATTGGAAGCATATTCTGTAGCCGCCACCATCTTATTTAGATCTTGATGCGTGCGGATATCCTCTGCTGGTATCCTGGCCTGAAGCTGTCTAAACCAGCGGAGAGCAGATCTGTTAAAAAAGGATGCAGAGGTAGCTGCTCTGATAGCCCAAGCCGCAGCTTGATGTGTTCTACAGAAAGAGCTCACATTTACGATCCTCAGCCTTGAGGGCCTCAGAAACGTCGCCAGGAATGACGGTTGGAGACACAAGGGGTCCTAAAGGTTCATCTACCGCGGGTACCTCCAGAACCATCTCCAGGTCCTGCACAATGTTATAAAGTTTTTTCTCATTGCTACATGGAAGGGGAAAAGAGGCAGGGGATACCCATGAGATGACGAGTCCCCAGAGTAAATGGACTGCGAAGGGAAGAAGGTGCATGATAGGACTCAGTAGTCAGCTGGTGGGTGGGTAGAAAGGTGACCACGGGTGACCTAGCCTCTTGCGATCTGGCCTCAAGAGTACGCTCTACCACTTGTGCAATCATCTCAGGCGGTCCTGCGTGGGGAGGGGGACCGGTTCACTTGGCCACAAAGGATATCTTGCCGTCCTCCTCGACTGCAAAATGCCACAAGGCCACGTGTTGAGCCCGTGGAGCAGAGGGCTGAATGATCGGATGAACCCTGTCCATGTCCCCCAGTGCAGGAGACAGGAGAGGTTCCCCTATTGACCATATCCCCAGTGGAGAAGCGGAGGGCCCCAGGGGCAGATCAAAAGAAGGCACTTCGACTTGTGAGGTCTCCAACCTGGCTAGCTTCTGTGCTTTAGAGAATTCCTTCTCTAGGGCTTGGTGTCACCTGGTGGCCTGTTTTTCAGCTCCACTGGAGGTTTTTGAGGTAGACCTGGCCTTGGCAGAGTTCTTACCTGTGGCCTCTTGATTAGAGGATTTGTGGCATTTTGCAGTCGAGGAGGACGGCAAGATATCCTTTGTGGGGGGCCTAGCATCCTCCATCCTCGGGCAACACAGGAGCATGATAGGGGACCCCTGGTATCTGGAGACTGCTATTAGTTGGATAAGAATGGGCGCACTATAGGGGGCGCCTGGAATCCAGATAGAGCTGATTGTGTGGATAAGAACAGGCACATGGTAGGGGACACCTGGTATCCAGACAGAGCGGTTAATATAATTAAGCTCAGGATCCCAATAGACTAATCCTGGTTTTCAGGGAAGACCTGGAGACACCAAGAACCCAGAAATTGACTCCAAGGAGATTAAATGGACATGAAAGAACAACCCAGATAGAGCCAAAGCTGCTAAGCAGGCTGTGAAATGGATATATTGCAGGCCTGAGTGGCTGTGGAGATCAAATACTGACTGAGGTCTGACAGGCCTTGGAATGGTGTTATGTAAAGTTATATTTAGAGCAGATGAAGGAAGTAGGCCTCAGGAGGCTAGCAGGCCTGTTCTGAGGCAACAGTGGCCGTGCAGGGTCCCTGTGCAATCTGAGGCTCCAGAGGCCTCAAATGGGGGCCGCAGGGGAGAAAAGGGCTCAGAGCAGGCCCCAAGATGGCGGCCTCAAGAAAACCCAGTCCCAATAAGGGACACAAAAAGGCAGCCACACTCAAAATGGTGGCCACACCAAAAAAGGCTGCCACACTCAAAAAGGCTGCCACACTCAAAATGGCCGCAACAACCAAAATGGTGGCCCTACGAGGTCTGGGGGTATTGCTGCCAGCACCCCCTTCCACCCTAAACCAAGTAGCCCTCTGAGACGAAAAAACAGAGCTTTGGAATTCTTTCTGGCTCCTACCATGAAGAAAGGCTGGAAAAGAGGTAATCAGCCTTCTGAATACGTGCCAGCTGCAAACGGCCGTTTTTAGCCTTCGGGCGCATCCAGAGGCTTTTCCAGGCAATGGGGAACTATGGAGGGCTGAGGAGCAGCTGAGCCCAGTGCTGTCCAAGAGGAGAAGGAGGGCTGTGTTACAGAGGGGAAGCAAGTTCCTTCAGCCTCAAGCCTTTATGGTTGGAAGTGGGAGGGAGGGGGAGGAACGAAGGCCTCCATTCCTAGTTAAAGGCAAACAGTTCTTCAGCCAACTGAGAGGAAAAAAACACAGTGCTGAATACAGCACTGTCACAAAAGACTGAAGAGAATAGAGAATAAAGAATCCACCAATGGAAACTGTACCTGCCTAAGAGCCAACTTGCTATGTCTGTGCTGGGCAAGATCAAGTCGAGACTGGGACACTCTAGCCTAGAACAGGCATTGCAGCTTTGGCTGACTTGATCTGATTGGGCAGGAACACAGTCTAAACCATTATCCATCTCCAGTGCTGGAGAATTCTCCAATCCCTAGCAATAGCGATAGCCCATAAACCCAAAGCCATAATGTGCCAGGAATTATTTAAAACCAAAGACAAGATACAGAAAGATAAAAGAAAGCAATGTCATCTATAAAATCAACTATAACAATTGCAACCACTTCTACGTGGGACAAACATCACGTCAATTAAAAATTAGGATCCACGAACACTGGCTGGCAGTCAAATTCCATGATCCCAAATCCCTAATCACTACCCACACTGACACCAAGCAATACCAGTTCAATTGGGCAGCACTAAAATCATCGACCACACTATAACCTGCCACATTTGGGAATTCATCGAAGCCTGGCACTCCACAAGCAATTCTATGAACAGACATATTGATTTACAACTAGCATACAAACTCCTCAGAATCCAAATCAATTGAACAGCCATCCGGAGACAGCACCAATTCTCAAGCTCCTCCCCCCAGCAGTTTATCTTCCAATGACCCTGACCTGAGATAATCTCCCCATCACAAGACCCATTACCAGCCTCTGACTGATGACTCATTCCTAACCCACTGATAGTTCACACCCTCCAACGACCCTGACCTGATGTACCTTCCCATCACAAGCCTCTCTGATGACTCACACCTGGCCCATCACAAGGCCATCATTTGACACTCCCACACCTGAAGCCCTTATATAAGTAGAACCCTGACAAAGACATCCATTAAACATCGTTGAAGATGTTACCTAGCCTGGTAATGAAATATTTGGAAACCAACCCTCAAGCTCAGAGAATGAACCTTCACCTTCATCCTACACCTGAGCTACAGATATCTGTCACTATTGCAGAAAATAAATTGTCTATAACAGTAGTGTCAAACTGCCAGCCCATGGGCCAGACGGGTCAGGCAGAAACCGTGCCCACTAGTTGCTGGCAATGGCAAAACTGTCCCGATATGTTGTGCAATGTCACATGACGTCACAAGTTTGACATGTCTTCTGTAATATGCAGTTCACATTTAGGTTGGAAATGTGGACAAGGGACATTTTATCATGTTTGGTGGTTGTGTAAAATAGCTAGAAATTTATGGATTCAAATAAAAACACTGATTCAAAAGATTTTTAAAATATAATTGAATCTAGAGGTTTCTTTTTGGGGATTGATGGACAAATATTGGAAAAACGTTTTTGTATAATAACTGAAGTGAGGAGGTTTTTTTAACAGTTTGCATA